ATATATATATATATATATATATATATATATATATATATATATATATATAAACCACACAAACAAAAGCTCTTTAAAGTCCTTAATCATTTTTAAGAATGTAAAGCGATCTTGAGACCCGGAAGTTTGAAAACCTCTGTGATATCGTGCGCTATTTGCTTACTGTTTGTAAGTATGTATGGATAGGAATAAATCTGAATGCAAATATATTCATAGCATTTGTAAGATATGATGTCCAGCCACAATTTAATTTTCTACCTTAGGAATATATGGTTCATTTTCTCCCTGATGATATTAATGCCCCATGGAGGGCTGCTCTAATATAAGAGGACAACTCATATTTCAACACACATAAAGCCAAATATTCAGTTTAGAGTTTAATTGATGGATTTGAAGAAAATGGGATGTTCTGAGGCTTTACCACAGTTACTTCTTCTTTTTTTTTAATAGGCCATTTTTAAACCAATGTTAGGCTTACAGAAAAATGGAGCAGAAAGTAGAGTTCTCATAAATCCCCCGCCCCCACACTTGCAGGGCCTCTCCAGCTATCAACATCTCAGACCAAAGTGATATATTTGTTACAACTGATGAACCTACATTGACAGATCATCATCACCCAGCGTCAGCACTTCCTTTCCTCCCCACTAACCCCATGGCAACCAGAGATCTTTTCACTGTCTCCACTGTTTTGTCTCTTTCAGAACATTGTACTGTTGGTATCATAGAGTATGCAGCCTTTTCAGATGCCCTCAGCTTCTTTTTAAAAACATTTGATGAACTTGAGTGACAAAGTCAGGTCAGACCTAGTAACTTTTTGTGTGTTTATTTACTTTCCATTATAATAAAATTCACACATACCTGTCTTTGTTGCTTATCCTCTCACATTCCAGACAGCCAGGTACCAGTGGCCAGAAAATCCATCTCTTTAATTTGGGCTCTTAGTGCCAATAGGGTCCCCTCCAATTTACAAATAGGGCCTCACTGCTATTTGATGCAGATTGTCCTGTCAGCTAAGTGCTCTTGGAATTAAATCCTTAAGCCCTGGCAGAAAAGGGCTTACCCTACAGTAGCTATTGGGTTGTCGGAAAAGGCATGACACATTTTTGCAACGAAAAACAGAAAAAAATGCATCATGATGTTTCTGACAACCCAATATTTCAGTGACAAATAAGAAAAAACTACGAAATGGGCACATGTCCCCTTCACAGGAGAGCAACTTTGTTGTCCTTAAGAGTCTCTAGTTCTATTTATCAGGTCCTTTAAGTTTCTGAGTAGATTCTTAAACCTTTAGAATTTTTGTAATTTTGAACCCAAAGTACCAGGGTGTCTGGTATTTACATTTGTATTAAATGACTTGAAAATGCAGAATAGTTTGTCAGTATCTAGGACAATAAAGACATAATAAAGGATATAATTTGGGGAGGGGTAAAAAAAAGAGAAAAAAGTATTTCATGTCTGCTTGGTTGTTCTAGGTTCCACTTTCTTTGTGGGTTGTAATAACTCAGTTAAGAGTTTGTACCATTTGAAGGCAAAGGGTTAGGTATGAAACTTCAGTTTCTCCAAAGTAAATCACCTGTTCTGGATTATTCTTTTTGGCTTGCTTGAGTCAGCAAAATTGAATAGTTGTCTTTTGTGCACTTTAGTAGAAAAATATAGGCAGTCCAGACAGGAGAGGGCTCATCAGGCGCTTTGCCACTACAGCTGTTCACTCAAAGGAACTGCTGGGGTCTGTCTCCTGACCTGTACATCAAGGGGAGGGTGGGCTGAAGACAGAGTTTCACGGATTTTTCAGCCCTTCGTGGCCCTCTCAGCCATTAGCACGGTGCTGTATTTATAGTAAGTGCACAATAATTGTTAGCTGAACGAGTGTTATTTTTGATCCGTCGTGATCTGTCGGAAATCCCGGCCAGGTTTTGTGCCCAACCCGGGAAGGGGCGGAGCTTCGCGCAGCTCCTGCGCGCGCTGGGGGGCGGGGGCG